GAAAAAGCCGCGTCCCATTTCCCCTACAGCGTCCACAACCTACACTACCTAATCAAAAAGCTAGAAAGTGCCCATCTCCGACTAATCTAGAAAGACAAATAATCATAATACCAGCCTAGCGTATCCACGCTCTGACATATCAACTTCTAGCTCAACCGTCACATGTAGACGGTGAACATAAACAAATCCATTCTGAGGAAGGAGAGGACTTATGCCTCAAAAAAAAAAAAGTTAACAGCAGCACCAACTATTGGCCGCTAACAGAGCAGTGAAAAGATGATTACAGCAATGGTTAGCAAGCACGATAATCCTCAAGGAACCCTCAACAAAGCCAATGAAACGTAACAGGTTTCACATGCATAGCGGTATTACAAATATAAATATTCATTCTACGGTTGGAGTTAACATCCTCAAAATTAAGCAGTAAACACAAATGACTTAGTTAATTTGCATACAACAAAACCGCGTGAAGAACACTCAACAAAATCTAATAAAAATGACATCACCAGAGTCAATAGGCCAGTTGCAAACTGCGCTAGAAATAAAGCTGAACACATCAAAATAACAGCTTGCAGAAAAACAAAAACAAAACATAGAGCATGAAGTGAATAGATATGAATAGTTAAAGCAGTAGTGCAGGATACAAATACTCAAAGAAAGCTGGCAAGGTGTGTGTGCGTAGGGGGGAACCACAGAAAACCCTCTCTATTAACTAATTAATAAAGTAGGGAGTTAAGCACACTAGGAGTATAACAAGAGGATTTATTAGGTCCTGAAACTTTCACAACATCTAAGTGAGCTCAGATTAAGCCAAAACCGCCCCAGACCAGGCTTTGTTTCTAGCCACGCTCACTTACAGGCGAAGGTGGAATCAGCGCTGCTTCTGCGCGACCGAACCTCACGTTGTGGAAGACCTCTAAACGCCTCCTCGCCGTCTCACCTACCCATCCAGCTGGCTTAAGTAAACAAGCGCTGCGATGCCAAAGCCAGAAGAGCAGGCACTTGGACAACACACGGTTAGAACAACGCTTCCGACACAGCGCAGGCAATAAACTTCAGCTCTCCCCTCCGCTGTGCCGCGAACAGAAAGGTGACCAGGGCCGCAGCCCTACCTGAGGGACGGGGTGCCACATCACGCCAGCCCAGAGCTCAGCTGCATACACAGAACAGCAACGTACGTTACGGAGGAAGACGAAACGTCCAAGTAGCCTACTGCAAGCCGGCGGCACGGAGCGGGGCAGCGGCCGGGCCGGGCAGAGCCGAGGGCGACGCCGTCGCCGCTCCCTGGCACCGGCGTGGGGGGGGGGGGGGGCACGCCGCTGGC